CTCATGTGTCTGTTGGCCATTTGAATGTCTTCTTTGGTGAAGTGTCTGTTCATTTCCTTTGCCCATTTTTTAATAGGATTGTTTGTCTTTTTGTAATGTTTTTGTCAGATTTTAGTATCTAGTATCAAACTTATAAAAAACAAGCTTTTCTATCCCATGGAAGAGTTTCTGTAGCATTGGCATTTCTTTTTAAGCAAATATAAGAATTCACCAGTGAGGCCATCTGGGCTTGGAGTTTTCTTTGTGGGAAGGTTTTTAATTAAAAATTCATTTTCTCTAATAGATACTGTTTTTCTTCTTTGGTAAGATTTTCTGTTTCTTGTTGGTAAGTTTTGTAAGTTATATTTATCTAGGAATTTGCCCATTTCCCTAAAATTTCAAATTTATTGTAGTGAAGTTGTTCTCAATATCTTATAAGACCTGTAGTGGTGTTCCTTCTTTTCATTCCTGGTATTAATCCTTCATGACATCTCTTTCTCTCTCTCTTTTTTCCTTTGATACTGTAGAACAGGGATTGACAAACTTTCTGCAAAGATGGCCTTTTACAGTAAATATTTTAGTCTTTGTGGGCTACAAACTAGTCCTGATTAGTATAGGGAAGTTTCAGAGTCTTTAAATTGGCTGGCTGCTTGTTTATTCATTTTGTGAATTTTTTTAATTTTATTTTTTGAGAATTTACACAGCAGAAGATACACTGATTCAACAATTTCTACATGTACAATTTAGTGACATTGATTACATTCTTCAAGTTGTGCAGCCATTCTCACCCTCCTTTTCCAAATTGTTCCTCCACCATTAACTCACTGCCCCTAAGTTTCCTATCTAACCTTTGAAGTTGCTGTTGTCCATTTTATGAGTTTTTAATAAGCGCATAGTTCTTAAGTATTTGTTACATATCCAGCATTGTTATATGATAGGCGGTCAGCAAACTTTTCTTGTAAAGGGCCAGATAGTAAATATTTTAGATTTTGCAGGCATACAGTCTCTGTTGCAACTACTCAACTCTTCTTTGTAGTACAAAAACAGCCAGAAACAATATGTAAACAAATAATTGTGGCTGTGTTCCAATATAACTATACTTACAGACACGGAATTTATATTTCACGTCACAAAATATTCTGTTTTTTCTAAACATTTAAAAATGTAAAAAGCATTCTTAACCAACCAACTTGACTCAATAGCAGCAAAGTATACATTCTTTTCTAATGCACATGCAACATTCTCCAGAATAGACAACATTTTAGGGCATAAAGCAACCCTCAATAAAATATAAAACATCAAAATAATACATAGCACCTTCTCTGATCACAACACCATAAAAGAAATCAGTAACAGGAAGCGCAAGGAAAAAAAGTCAAATACATGGAAACTGAATAGCACCTTGCTTAAAACAACTGGGCAATAGAAGAAATCAAAGATGGAATAAAAAAATTCCTAGAATCAAATGCAAATGAAAACACATCATACCAAAATCTTTGGGACATAGCAAAGGCAGTCCTCTGAGGACAATTTATAGTAATAGATGCAGACATCAAAAAAGAAAGGGACAGAATCAAAACATTTAACTACACAACTTGAACAAATAGATAATAGCAAAAAAAGCCCAGAGGTGCCAGAAGAAAGGAACTAATAAAAGATTAGAGCAGAAACAATGAAAGAACAGAAAAACAATAGAATCAACAAAACCAAAAGTTGGT